GTGTAATTTCCCCGCTGATGTGTATTGTCCCACATTCTCCCAAAACCAGCGTCTGCCGACATTGATGTGTATTCTCACCAGCTGATGTGAGATAACCCCAACGCAAGTATCAGGGAGCTACCGCCATGGTCTAGTGGGGGGGTGGGTTTCAGAACGGCGATCGCCAAGCAAAGGCCCGGCTTTGAAAAATGTAATGAATCACCACAGCCTGTTGGGGCTGATTCTCGAAATGGTGTGATCGCCTGACGTCGAAATGGTGTGATCGCCTGACGTCGAAGCGGGCTCAAAAACACGAACTAAGCGCCATGGCCTGAAACAATGTCGCTAACCGCCATCACTTCATGAAAGGGGGCAGGTTTACGAAGCGCCATCAACAACCGCCGCCACATGAAGAGCCTGGTTGGATGTGTGGCTTCGGGGTTTGGCATATTGGACAGTTCCAATCGGCAAGCCAAGAGCTACAGGCTGAGGCGCATCGCGTTCCATGTCATCGTGGTGTTTTTTTTCATGAGTGCCGCATTGTGGTTGTTCCGTCTCCGGCATCCTGTCTTGGGTACCTCACCGAGGAATTTGTGGCAGTGTGTATCATTGCATCGTCCGTCATAACGTCACACATGCACAGTGGGATCATGTGGAACAACTAGAGTTTAGAGCAGAAGAGGCAACAGTCTTGAGTCTTGACCATTCCTCAATGAGACACTCAAGCCCTGGACAGGCGAAGCTGCGTGGCCTGAAGCAACACCTTGAGGTGGTGACTTTCGAATATTGGGCTTGAAGTCCTGAGACTGTCGGGAGGTGTGTAGCAGGCCCGTGGCTGCATGCTCAAGGCAAATTTGTAAGCGATTTGGATCGCAGCTTCTCCGAGAAATCGTGCCCCGGATGTGCGGGAGGCGGATAAAGACTATCTGCCGAAGCTTGCATTCACGGTTCACAAGAAGGTGGGAGGATTGGAGCTTGCATCGGGTCTTGTCAAAAAGGGCTTTGATCAGGGCCGCGGGTGGACGGTCTGAAAGTCAGCTTGGTCGCACAGGTGCTGAGCCGAGGATCGCCGGACAAAGTTTCGTACCCGGTCCTTCAGGTGTTCAGCACCTCGGTCTGCAACGTGGCGATGTAGATACCGCAGACGGAGAGAGACATGTCTTTGCCAGGTTCTGTTTTTCCTAGCACGCTTTACCACCCTTGCCCTTTTCTTCAGGACCCCCTCTGGTCACTGCGAAAGAAGAAGCCTGAACCCTGCAATGTGGGAGGAACACCTCTGTGGCCGAGGCCGGGCCTTCTGTAGCCCCGAGCTGAAGGAAGGCGAGCGCCGCTTGGTCCCGAGGCAGCAAGTCGCAGCAAGGAATCTTCGAGTTTTAGTCGGCTTTCGGGTTTTGGGTGACTGTTTTCTTTATGTTTCAACCCATGATTCTATTGCTCTGGGGTCCAGTCTGGGGGCCAAAGTCTCTTCGGGATTCGGGCTTTAAGGTCATATGGTCGATGCGTTCGGGTTTGTCTTGTTTGACTGCATGTTTAAATGTAATCAAATGTCGGCATCCTTCTCACAGTCTCCTGTGCTGCCGTTCTACCCTGTAGCGAGACAACTAGGACGCGAGCTTTTGGTTCCCCTCCACCCTGACGTTGCAGGATAATGACAGGCCCCTTACCACTAGAAAGGCTGGCAGGCACAACGCGAACGGTACTCCTCAATACTCACACCGTTGTACCGTCAAGCAAGATAGTGCAGGAAAACAGCCACATAGAAGATGAGCATGGTTTTGTGAATAATGGTTCCAAGATATGCTAAGCACCGTGTTGAGGTTCGGGTCTCTCATGTTTTCACCGACCTAAGACATGTAGCCCGAAGCCAGAACCGCAAGAGAGCTTGAGGTTTTCTATGCGTTTAACGAGCTCTGCCGGCCTTTGCATAAAGATCCGCAGAGCACTCGCAGCAAGTACGTCCGCCATGCCGCCTGGCAGTTCATGAAGCCCGGCTGAAGGTGGTCTTTGCTCTTATTCTGGCTTCAGCCGATCACCTCATGATTCGTCCGCATACCAGCGGGGATTGCAAAACGGGCTCTAAATCATGAAGAGATCCGTAGTCGCCTGCAAGCTGAGGAAGTCCGTGACGACCGTCGAAATGAATGACAGAGAGAGGCCGAAGGGCATCACCACTACCACCACTACCACCACTGCCACCCCTACCACCGCTACCGCTGCCACCGCTGCCACCGCTGCCACCACTGCCATCGCTACCACTGCCACCGCTAACAGCCCTACCAGCACCACCAGCACTTACGACGGTGCCACGTTTACGGCTGCGACTCTAACTGCGACAACGATGACTGCTACGACATACTACATACTACCACTATGCTACCGCTGTTGTCATTATATTCCGTAGTAGAACTGACAGCAGTTTTTGTCTCGGAAAAGCAGCTCTACCCTCGGATATGACAGTGCGATCAGTGCGATCATGATTCTAGAGTCTGTTCTTGTCCCATCATCGTTGTCGGTGCTTTGTGGTGCTTTCAGCAACGTTGAGATGACTGCACAAACATAGATAAACATAGCAGATGTTGAGCAGCTAGTTGATACTAATTGCCCTGAATATCGGCCCTGGTTGGGTGTTGTAGCACGTCTGTTGGACTGGTTGCAGGGATTTCTACGTGCGCTTCTGCCGGAAGCACTCCCGCAGCTCGAATGACGCCTCTTGGTCAGCTGGCAACATTGGATGAATGCAAGACATGCTTTGTGAGCTGTGCACGCGAATATTGTGAACCTGAACCCCGCCCTTGCTGGCATCTGTTACAATGGTCTTCGTGAAGATGGCAGTCGCGAACCATCATCAAATCCGGATTGCAGGATCTATCGCGCTGCCGGTTCGTCCCCCACTGAAACGCTGCTTTGCTGAGTTCAGCCAGCCAGACCTTCTGTGGCCTAAACCAGTTCTAAGCACAGCTGCTGGCTCCTGCTCCTGTTGCTGCCGTGCGTGCGAGAAATTCGATGCAGTTGTCGCGGTTGCGACTGTGCAAGAATAACGACAGCTGCAGCAGTTGTCACTGTAGAGCAGATGAGCTGAAGCCAACAGAGAGGGACGGGATGGTTTGTCGTTCTCAATCCAGCCATCAGCATGGACCAATGGAAGCAGCACGGAAGCCTAAGCTCAGGTGTACTGCACATGAGACCCGAGTTGCAGCCAAGGAAGGACTATTGGGATGATCTGATGTCCAAATGGGAGCTGGCGATGAGGGGGCGCCAGTCTCTCCAAAGCGTTGAGCAGAAAAAGCACGATCTGGACAGATTCAAGCGGTGTAGCCTGACGAATGCCCCATATTGCCCCACACCGAAGAATCCTTGCTTGTGGGTAGGACTTCTCCAAGAACCTACCATTCAGGCTCCGAAACAACGAAGCTTCGCATGTGCGGCGAAACTAAGGACTGTGAGCACAACGATCGCCAGCCCCGATGATGAGCTCGTGTTGAACTCAGAAGGGTTTGGGCGTCTCTGTGGCTCCGATTGCTGGGTCAGTTTTTCAGCAATGGGAACACGCAGAGACCTCGCAGCGACGTGGGCCGCATTACTAAAGCTGTTGTACAGGCATGCAGTGCATGATGGCTTGCGACGACTGAAGCTCCGAGGATTATCTTGCCGTGAGATGCACCCCCCCCAAACCTCGAACTGGACATCCTAAACACGGGTCTGAGTCTCTAATTGGCGTCTGAAACTGGCAAGCCGAGCCCATCCGAGCCCCTGCCTTGTGCAACGACCTCGACGCCCAAAGGATGCGCTCTTGCATCGCGTGGACGGCGTGGAGCGACGACTGATCCGGGGCCCAGCCTCCGATCGCCTGGAGGCCCTGCACTGGAAATGGACCTCGGGTCTGATCGTTTCTGTCAAAGCAGTAGTAATTAAACTGCCTGACAGTTTCGTGAGGGGCTTCAAGCTTTCAGGCCTTCACGTTGTTTTGTCTCTCCAGTTGGAGTCTGAAACAAGCATGTGCAGGCCTGCTTCCCTTCATGTGTCCAAGTCGTCAGGGCATCGCGTCCGCACTGTCCCACGCGCCCGCACGGGCTGCGAAGGCGGATGGAGATGAGCCGTTGATGGGCACTGCGACCCTTGCATGTCATGCCAAAGCTCCCTCCGATTCCCTCCGCAATGCACGAGAACCAAATCGAACATGGCAACAACCACGCATCAAATCCTTGTGTTCGCCGCAGGTGCAAGGTCTCGCCTTTCTGAGTGTGGCAATGTAGCTCACCCCTCCGCGAGCCTTCCAAGCTTGATTCAGGTCTTGTGCCCAACCAAACGGTTGTCATCGGGAATTACTCACCAGGATGGTCTCAATCTTGTATGTGTTTTTTGGTTTGCAGAGAGACCTATCGGAATCTACGTCGGGCTGGCACTCTGCGAAGTTAAGAGCCGCACCGAAGACAGCCGTGCAGAGCTGGAAGAGGCATAGCCGGCATAGCCTAGGCTCGCAGGCTGGCCCCAGTTGAAGGTTGGTTATCGTTGACATCTTTCTTCTGCTTGTGGGTCTCAGCAGATCTGGGAGTGGAGATTAGCTTGCATGGATGCTTCCAAACACAGCAGACAGTGCGCGAGCAGTCTGTCGCGGGGCGCGTCCCCGTTTGCTAACGACTTGCTCCTGGCCGAACCGCTTGGCATGGGAAGAAACATGTTAGGCCTTGCCAGCAAGCGTTGATTTGAACATTGGCCCAGTGGATTCTGGGCACTGGAGCCTCTCAATGTCCTCTCAAGGTCCACGTGATGCAGCCCTTCATGACATCGCCTGGCATGGAAGAGTTTCAGCATGGTCCGGACCTTTTCAGGCTCGGATTCGTTTTTTTCTCCGCAACCGGCAGCAAAGGTCTCGGCGTGTTCCTGGGCTATGACGGCAAGGAAGATGTACTGTCAGGCCAGTTTTGAAGCGTCCTTGCGTGGAAGGTTTCCCGGAAGTTTAGCGAGAGTGGGGCTCTCACAGCACTTCATACTCGTAGGTGGCTTCAGGCATGGGGCCTCGAGATCCTCTAATGTTTCTACAGCTACGAGACAATTTCTGCCAAGGGCCGGTGGCCGAAAGCTGGGACGAGGCCTGCTGCCGCCTTAACCTGGCTGTACTGTTGCCATGTTTTTGCCGACCTCTGAAGTTCCGCTTGACTGCGAGAGGCTACTAACAGCAAAACAAACACCTTACAGCGCCTCCAAGGCGTGACGATGGCATACCGGAAAGGAAGTGGCGTCAGCGGAAAGGCTGGGTCGCCTTGCTGCAATGTCTTCGGGTTCCGACATATTCCGGACCTGAATGACACAGGACGGGCATTGACAGCGATCAGGGAACAGAAAGCCTAAGAGCGAGGACTCGCCATCATGTTAGATCAGCATGACGACAGACACATACCAGTGGCGAAGATGATAAGCAGCAGGCCAAAGCTGAACCAAATGAGCCTGTGCTGTCCCGGCTCTCCCTCGTCCTTCTTGAGTTTTACACCTTCGAGTCTTCTGCAGGCCGTTACCTTCCCAGCTTGCCGGGGCTCGGCCTTCATCACAGCAGAGCTCGGGCCCTGTGTGGACTTTCGGGTGGCCGGGGATTATCCAAGGCTGGCCACAACCAAACCATGTCAATGTTGGAAGAAGACTCCTATCATCTGCAGCGCGCAGGAGTAGGAGTAAAGTCCCAAACCCTGGAAAGGGAAGCAGGCGAGTCATCCAGGAAGGATGAACGAGTGGAAGTTCTCGCCGTTTGCGACATTTGGCCATGCCCCCGCCCGCACCACTCCCAGCCACCCACCGGCCGAGGTTCCGCTCCGTGCGGCCTGTGGTCTCTTCGGATCTGATGCTTGCGGCAGGGGCACTCAGCGCTCGGAGAGCTTTGGATTTTCGGTCATCTCTTTAAATCGTGTCTCGAGGACTTGGAATTTGAAGATCGGGTTCCCAGTACCACTCTGCGACGGCATGCCCATGGCATTCCGTGCTCAGGAGCCCAAGAAGCTCCTCGTCGACGGCAAGCAGGTGGACTGCAGCGACTTCGTCCACGGAAAGGCCTCGGAGAGTCGAGAAAAAGATCAGAGCTCCGAGCCCCGCGAAGGCAACAGAAGAGTAGTGACGTGGCACAGTTCGCTGTTAGGGTCGGGTTCGATTCCTTGGGAACCTCTGTCAGGAGATAGAGTTCACCCTCAGCACCGGCGATTCATGGCTTGTGGTCTTCCCACCCGGGATGGGATGGGTCGGGATCCCAGATCCCAGGATCATGCCGAACCATTTTGATTGCTAGCGCTGTGCCGGCATAGTGTGGCAAGTGGGAATGATGACATCTCTCGTCCCAGTGCCCCTTTACGCCTTGCTCGACGGAGACTCACTACTCAGGTCTGCAAGGCCTGGCCCTTCCGGCTGCTGGCTGCGAAGCCGACTCCGCCGAAAGGCCCCCCGGCCCGTGGTTTCATCTCCTGGTAGGCAGAGGCAGAGGCAGGTCTGGAGCAGAATTTGCAAGGCAGCACCGCAAGACACGTCACCGGCCTACCAGGTTTCTCTAGTGACTCTTTGGCTACGGCTTACTTGCCAAGATCTTCGCGTGTGAACACTGCACACACACACACACACATCAACAAGGCAACTGCAGTCTTGGCACTTCACACCTTCCAACCTGTACAAAGCTGTGTTCCGGCTTAGGGCTTTTCGTGGGCCATCTTACATTTGTAAGTGGCGATCATGGCGCTGGGTAGCAATGCCATGGCTTTCGGCCTGGCGGTATACCGTTCGGCGGATCACCGCCGAGCGGCACGTGCGGTGGCGGTCGTGGTGCTTCTCATGCTAGGCCGCCTCTGGCAGGGCATGCAGCGGCGCTTGTATGGTGTCCACCGCATAACCCTCCCGAGCCAGCTTCTTGCCAGCAAGTGAAAAGGGTTCCAGAAGTCTCATCCGTCATCTACGAGTGCGTCGCTTTACGGGTTGGCGACTTCGTGACGTATCCGGGCAATTCAGTCGGGCAAATTATTGGCATCGATGACGATGACGGTTTGATTGTCCGCACTGACCACGGCCGCAAGGCCGTTTGGTACATAAGCAAGTGCACCCAAGCCCTCAGCGCGGGGGACCGCGTGCAATACCCCTGTGGGGAAGTGGGCACCTTGATGGAGTTCGATGCGGATGGAGATCTGAATGTGCGCAAAGAAAATGGCACCACTGCGAGGTGGTATGCCCGCACTTCTCCACAACCGTACTCGACTTTGTCTCCCACACTGAGGAGCCTCGTTAGTTGTGGGCTTCGATTGCGACGGAGATATCATGGTGGCAACACCCAGGGGGCGCAAAGCCACGTGGTTCGCGCAGAAATGTCATTGACTTTGTTGAGTCCTGGCATTGTTTTTGTCATGTTCTGGCGAAGTCTAAACACCGCCTGCAGCTAAATATTGCAGGGTTGATCGTTATCGTGCATTTCGTTTCACCCCTACTTGGCATCTGTTTCACAACTGCCAGAAGCATCGCTTGCAAGGCCGGTGAAAGTTGCGGGGGAGAACGCTGCGGGGTCACACTACCCTCATGCATCGTTGCACGTGTTCCTACGGAGCAGGACCCGCTGTTGTCGTGAGTGCAAGCCATCCATTGTGACAGGAGCGGCGGTCCAGCTTGCCATGCTGAAGGGCAAAAACCCAGGCAGCTTGGCTTTGGGGCTGCGTCGCTTGAGAACTTAAGCTTTTTTATGATCACGATGGTTTTCATGGTCGCGACGATGATGGTGGTGCTTTTCGACGGCGACAGCAATGTCGATGGTGGTGTGGACGTTGTGACGAAGGGGTTGAACATGATCCTGGTGATGATAGCGATGTTGTTCGCGATTTGGATCAAGATTGCAGCATGAGGATGTTGGCAAATTTTTTCAAGCTGGCGCTGCGAACCCAGGCTTGGACGTGCAGCGCTGGCATTCCTTGGTTCGCCATCACGCGGGTGCATACCCAGCTGTGGGCTCAAGGGTGCCGAGTGTAACACGGCCTTTATGCCCCTCGTGGGCATCGTGGCCGATTTCGATAGTAGTCGACAAATGTTGGAAAGCATCAGAGTCAGACATCCTCGAAGCAAAAGTGCCGGCAGCCAAGGTCGCCTCGGGCCTCAACTTCAAGGTGGAACGGAAGCGATCACAATGTAGCGGCTGTCCCGGCCGAAGAATCTCCGTCCTCTTGAGACAGGTCGGTCTGAATGCAGATGACGCAGAGGTGGGAAGCAAGAGATATTTCACGATCGCGAGATGGTGAATGCAGATTCTGCTGTGCAGGTTTCAGGAGGCAATGCAATGTATAGGCACTGCAGTGTAGGTGCAGAGGGCTTCAGGGTGATTTTGCAACGGTTGTTCAGGCCGGGCCATGCTGCATGAGTTGTGGGAGGTTGAGAAAACGAAGAAGTCCAAATCTAAAGCGACTTCGACTGTATTTTGGATTATTAGCTGCTGTAAGCTGGTGCAGGGACGCAGTGTGTTTGCCAGTAGTGTCCACCCAAAGGGACACTGGGGTCTGCCTGGGGACAGCACTGCTGTTCAAATGGCCTTCAGGTCAGTTTCAACTGGGCAAACTACGTTCGCACCGTGCCTGGTTACCCCGAGAAGGCAGCTGCAGAGCGGCTTGTAGCTAGAAGGCTAGAAGACATTGCAGAGAATTCACGCATTCTGCTCGCAACTCCCACTGTCGCAGATATGCTAGAGACTTCATTGCTGCGTTGTGGCTCAAAGAAGATGTCCTTGTTGGGCACTTCACTATGAGCGACCGTTTTCTAAGAACACATTCCATTCTGGCCTGCGGGGCGCGTGGCGCCCCAGAGATGTGGCTGCTGCTGTTCCTTTCAGTTGCAGCCGGCTACAGGCTGGCCGCGTGAGCTGCATTGTCGGGCAATTGTTGGAGAACACAGTGCGCAGCTTTGTACATCCCCCTCGCTGCTAGGGAGGATGTAGCCTTGGAGCTGGACACGGACACAGAGGTCAGCCGCGCCATTCGGCCCCTCGGCTTCGGTCAGGGTCGGACTGACACGACACACAAACATGCCAAGCCGGTGGATTGCCGGCTCTGCACTTTCTCTTTATTGTTTTTGTTTCTTTACTATTAGTGTAGCTTTTCTGTCGCTCGCGGTTACAGCCGCAGGTCTAGGTCGGTCAACGGGTTCGCAAGAAGCTTCTAGACTCTAACCGCCAACCCAAATCGTTGTTCATGCACACCATTTCAAGCTCCCTCAAGGCACCACGACCAGCTTCGGAACGCTGCAAGCCTTGCTTCCCATGAGCAGGGCACTGCACACGCCTTCTCTGCTCCCTGTCTGCCCTTCAACTTCCGAGTTTGGGAATCGCCACGCTTGGGGTCTGTTCAGCCCCTATAAACCTAGACCCTAAACTAAACCCTTCAAAGGCAAGAACAACTCTAAAATCTCAAACCCTAAATCCTCAGCCGAGGAGCTTCATTTCTCGGAGATGGCCGAGCTCATCAGCGACTTCTCATCTCCAGTTTGGAGCCTCGCTGACGAAGTTTGGGGGCTGTTCCAGGGTTTGAGCTTAGGGTTTAGGGCTTTAGGGTTCAGGGTTTAGGGGTTTAGGGGGTTTAGGGTTTAGCAGCATCCCAAGGAAGCATCGTTATTTGTACAACCTCCTGTGAGAGCTAGCATCAACAAGAGTCCCAAATGTTGTGGCGATGGTCATGACGCCGAATACCACTCTTGTTTTCAGTGTTTCCATGCATTGCCGCCTCGGCTCGGAAGTGAGAAGTCCGACGTGTCGCGGGATGCATCGTTGGAGGACCGCTACAGCAGAGAATATTGCATCCTCGATGCTTCACGAGCAGCGCCTGAAGGTGGGATTTGTGTTCTGCTTGCGATGAAAAACCCTAGTACCCAATAGTACACTACACAATACTATACTTGCAGTATCACGGATACTTGAATGTTGAATGGTCAGCTACTTGGCTGTATGAACGCTAGGCAGGTTTCCCCAACGGCCTCCACGACGTGCAGCCGAACTCGGTGCTGCTACTTGGCACGAGGGTAGTTTCAAAGACGAAGGTTTGCAGGTTTGGATTCTGTTTGTACTACCAGTACTTGGATCACATAGATTCATAGAATCCGCACATACACATGCGATGTCAGCGCTTGATTCATGCCTTCTCGGATCCGAAACATCTCGGGTCCCCAACACTATATGACTTAGGATGAACCCTAAACCCTAAACCCTAAACCCCAGGCGAAGGAAAAGAGGTGATAAAAAAAAACCCTAAACCCTAAACCCCAGGCGAAGGAAAAGAGGTGATAAAACAACCCTAAACCCTAAACCTACATGGCTTAGGATCTCTTAGGCCGCCTATGGGGGGGAACAGCCAGGCAGCTTGGAGACGAGACAAATCTCACGGATGAGGAAGCGATAGACAGGGTGATCCGTCGCTTGGCTTTCATGGGCAATTTTCAAATTAGGGTCCCTTTTAGGCTCCTTTTTATAAGCCCCAAAAGGGGCCCTAATTTGGAGAACTACCCTCATACGCTTCTGAGTTTCTGGCAGGATGCCTCTGAAATGTTATGTCTCACTGCGCGGCCATCGCTATTGAGAAATTTCCTTGCCTACACGTCCACAGTACCTAGCCCCAAGATCCTGAGGCCATGGCGTGCTTTCCCAGCGGCAACGCCAGGCGCTGGCCCGGGAGCACTTGACCGTGCAGCGTGCCATAGCCGCCGGGCCATGAACAGAAAAATACCATTGCCTCTTACTATGGATTTGAAGTGCCGTTGTGACTGCTTGAAAATTGCTGATCATCAGCATGTACCGTTTCTCTTGGTGATTTTGGATGTTGGGTATGCCATGCGGTTTCACGGTTTTTCGGTCAGATCCGCAAGCAGAGCCAAGGCCAAGGTCCTTCACCTGGACCTGGACTATGTGGGAGGCGCAAACAGGGCCTCCAGAGGGCCTCGGAGTCGGAGGCTCATTTCGATTCTTCTGGGGTTCTCGGTGCCGTGCTGCCTCTGAACTTCCAGACGCATTCAGGTTGAGAGGGCCGGATGGAAGAACGCAAGCTTTGGGTTTTCGATCTTGCACGGCGGAGTTGAAAGGTTCGTGAGTCCGGATGGCAAGCCGGCAGGTCATGGTGGCTCTTTTGCCCAGAATCTTCAAGGGCACCGCCATGGCCACCACCATCGACACAAGCGAGGTTTGGGACGCTATCCTGCTCAACTTTCGGTACACCGGAGACGTCTTTCAGTGTGTTAGTAAGCCTGAGACCAGTCTTGATTGGTTGATGGGTCGTGAACGAAAGTTGTGGCACGGAGCCGGGTGCTGTTCACGTGCCGACGTTGCTCAGAGTTTGTGAACATGGCTCTCCTGCTCCCCCTCATCACCATCATCATCATGATGAATAAGCATGATGATATGGTTAGTGCTAGTGTTATTATCATTCTCCTCATCATCCTCCTCATGTCATCCTCATCATCATCATTCTCCTCATCATCCTCATCATCCTCGTCATCCTCATCATCCTCATCCTCCTCATCCTCATCATCAGAGAAGCGGAGTTCCCAAAACCTTCCTTTGCAGGCAGGGCCAAGGCCTCCTCCGCTCCGGCCGAGGGGCCCTCCGATGCAGGCGAATGCCTTGCCCAGGCGGGGCCCCGGCCCGGGGAGGTCTCTTTTTCAGGGTCTTGGCTTCAAGGGGCGTTTTAGGTCCCCCCCTCTTGGGATGTGACATGCCACTTAGCCTTCGGGGAGGGTGCCGAGACATGCCTGAAACCGCGATGTTCTTCTGACAAGAGACAGGTCGGAACCGGCCTAGACAAGGATGAGTTGAAAGCGGTGTTGCAGCCGCATGGCACAGAAAAGCCTCTGCAGTGCAACACCGTTTCGGTTTACAACTCCAAGTTGTGCCCATAGCTTTATCAGCAAAGCGATGATAGTCGTTCAGGTGCAGACTTCGGTTTCCGCAGAATTCTGTACCTGTTCATTCCTCGGTTCATCTCCCGATGTCGGGGTTGCAGTACAAGAAGATATGCAGGCAGTGCGAGGCCTCAGAGACCGTGACTGAGGGCAAGAGGACACGGAACCGATTTGAGCCATGTTTCAAGGAAGAAGGAGACGACGGCCAACATCGGATTGGACGTTGTGAATAAGATGGAGAAGAACCTGACGCCCGCATGCAACCGAGATTTGGTGCGACTGCCGCGTTTTTGGTTTCGCTGCCTGTTGAGATGTGGTGGATTTTCTGAAGAAAGTCAGTCAAGTTCTGACTTGGTGGCTGAATCAAACGTGGGCCATGGTGTAGAGTCTGCGTGGGGTCGGTGATCCAAGGAAGCAGACTGTCACCGAAGGGGCCGCCAAGCTTGCAAAATGTGGCTTGTGGCACACAAGATGCCGTCCCGATCATAGATGGGTAGAGAAACACCTGAGACAGGAGCCGTTTGTTTACAGTAGTGTGCACATATGCATAGTCGACAAGAGGCGTTGGCTTTGAGTGTACCATGTCATGCTGGAAGATGTCAACAGCAGCTTGGTCCTCACCTATCAAGCAACCAAGGTGACGAATGCTTCGCAGGCTCTGTACAACTTTGTGACTAAGCGGCTGGTCTGGACGATTGCCGTGCTGCTTGGATGCAGGGGCTGATTGCAGAACGGGCTGATTATGCGATTATGAGTATGTGGCCTCTTTGCGTTTCGATACTGTGCAAGGAGTGTCTACTACTTTAGTCTTCTTAGTCGCTGTTTTTAACACCACGACCGCCACCACCGCCGCCACCGCCATCACCACAACCGCCATAACCACCACCGCTGCTACCATGACAACTGCGACAACGCGATGACTCCACCACAACCTCACCGAGGAAGACGAGGGCGAACACTTTTGTTACCTCGTTTACAGGCTTTGTGGAGTATTCGTCTTATCCTTTTTCTTCATCCGGTTTTCACAGAGAGAGAGAGAGAGAGTTGCCCCTTCAATCCATTTGCTTGCACTTTCCCTCTTTTGCTTCTTTCACTATTGGCACCCGCAAATGGCGGGGGCGCACCTGCGCGCGGTGTAGGGGGTCTCCCCCTGCACCACAACCCTGTGGAAAGAAAGAGTTGCAACTCTTTCAGGGATGCTGTCTGCTCTTGCGAAGCCATCCAAGGTCAGGTTTCCGTCGTTGCTGCTGGTTTCGGTGTTCGTAGTCGTTCATTGTTTTATTCCTACAGTATCCACAATGCATGTGAATTTGCAGGAAGGCCTTCCCGATCCCTTGGGCGTGGCCAAGCATTCTTTTCGGCTGCGGGCCGCTGTATCAGTGCATCAAGGAGTGTCGGAGGGTTGGAACTTGTGGAAAGACTGTAGCATGTTTTGCGTGCGGGAGAGCTAGCGGGAGGGGAAGGACGGAGGGTGAGCCTCCCTACCCACCACACCACACGGGGTGAGCTCTGTGAAAGGTTCATGAACTTGCCATGCCGCTCACATGGACACATGATCATATGATCGCATTCTCATATCTCGCTCACACTGCTCGTGTCGAACTTTCTGAGAGCAATGGTAAGCATGCATGATGTTCCCTGGAGGAGCTAGTCGTGATCGTTGAGCCCTTGCGCCAGCTCATCTGGAAAACAGTTGCGGCCATGGCCACTGTCCCAAAAAGACTAAGGCTAGCACCAGAATAATAGCAAACTGAATCTCCCAGAATAGCAGAATAGCCTCAGTCCGAGCAAGTGGCAATGTCACAGAAAGTACAGGTCGAATTCGGGTGATCTGTTGCAAGAGGGTGTCGCAGTCTGTGGATTTCTCGTGCGTTGAACTGCTGCGATTTCAGATGTGTTTTTATTGAAACCTGGCGGAACTGAATGCAGCGGGATTTGGAAACGAAGTGGTCATTACCAGCACTCTCCGCCTGCGCTGTCTTTCAACACATGGCTTTCTGCGAGCCCTCCCTCAAGCTTACACACTGATGCAGTGGCGGGTGGCGTCCTTCACTGCTTTGGGAGGGATCTTCAGTTGAGTTGGCCACCGTTTGCTGAGACTCCACAGTCGAATGAGACCCAGGCGAAGCTAGTGAATTGGATGCTTGACACCTTCACGAGCTACTTCGGAGGCGAGAAGAAGCAAGTGGCTGAACCAGTGCCATGGCAGCCTGGCAGTGTAGGGTTTGGGCTTTGAAACTGGACCAGGGGTCCGGGGTCGGGGCGGGGCGGTGGGCGGGCGGATTGGGCCGGGGGGGGGGGGGGGNNGGGGGGGGGGGGGGGGGGGAGTTGTTCGCGCTGGTCGATGTCAGCTGCAGAGTTCAGAGATTCTCTGAACTGATCAGAATGCCGACCTGGAGCCCAACCTGCACCATCTCTTCAGTGATGCAGAGATTCTGGGGCTGGACTGCATTAAGCAACTGGGCATGCAGCTTCTTTGGGTGGTCCAGCATCTGTGGGGTTGAGTAGCAAAGCTCTTTCCATCAAGCCCAAATGTGAATGTATTGAGGTGTTCCGCGAGACTTGCTGCCGGTATCACCGTCGATGCGATTCCTCCCTTAGCCGTCTCAGTTCTGACGCCTAGCTGATGGACTTTGTCTTGCGTCCTTCTTGCGCGACTGATCGAAGGGTGGTGTTGCTTGCTCTCTTCGCCACCCTCGAACCAAGAAAGACTGTTCTCGCCTAGGACCAACTCTGCGACGATCACGGAGATTGTTGGCTCAGAGAACAACGTGGTGAAGCAGTGCTATGGCACATGCCTGAAAAAGCAAATGCAGGTCCTGAATCGCATTATCACTGGAGGAGGTGGGGTTCGGACGACTTGGATAAGCAAGTTTGCATCGTCATCATGGGTTCGGTTTTCATTTTGAATTCCTGTTGGTTTCATGGCCTTGGCAGGCAAGGCGGACACGGACCAGTACTTCAAGCGTGGCAACTGCAACCAGCACGCAGTCGGCATGTGCCTCGTACTAGAGAAGACACGGGAGTGCAAGATGGAGGTCCTGGCAGACGGCAAGCTCAGAACAGAGGCAACCTTCAAGGAGGGTGCGGACGCACAGCGCAACGTCTGCAACGCTCTGAAGGGCGTTCACCTTCACCTCATCCGAGACGAAGAGAGGGGCATCATCTGTCCTGAAAACAAGCACAAAGGGAGCAAGATGGACTTGGGCCATGCCTGCCACAAAGTGATGGACGAGCTCATGCTCTACAACCAGATGTGCGAATCCCACGAAGAGGAGCAGGGCTGGACCTCCTGGGCCCTGACAGGACTGGCATAGCGTGACAAACTAGCTCACAGCTAGCTTGAGTCAGAGTCGGCGAGAGAGTCGGTGTGTCTTGCCTCCAGCCTGTTTCACGCCGCAGGAGGCACGGTTCCTCAGTACAAGGACGAGAAGCCGATCAATTCCTGGGATGACGCAAAGTGCTTGGGCAGCCATGTTATTGAGCCGCAGCATCGGAACACGAGGGACAGATGCTGTGCGACGTGACATATCAGACTGCATTCATCTGAGTTTCTGTCTTCAGCACCGTCTTGTCCCAGCTGTCAGCAATCTGTCGCCTCAGGCACAAGTGCCTCGAGCTTTTCGGCTGCACATCCCTGTTGACCAAGCCCGACAAGCCAGATGTGCAGAGAGGCCGGGCAAAGCCTTGTAGTTGTGCATGCAGATATTCAGAATGTGCCGCAGCGACGAGCAATCTTGCAGGTCTGGAAGCTTTCAAAAACGTTCTCAAAGGGATCTTAGACAGTGCTCCGCAGCTTGGCAAGGTTGACTGTAACAGGTTTCATGTTAGCTGTGCAGCGCGGACTCAATCAGAAGCCGTTGAAGTGCAGACACAGAGCTCCATATGACTCAGTCTTGGCATGTAGAACTTTATTAATAATAACAACAACAACAACAATAATAATAATAATAATAATAATAATAATAATAATATATAAACTCTATTTCTGCGCCAATCTTGCCCCCCTCGCCCCGCCAACAGGCCACGGCAATGCCTCTTAGGGTCTCTTATGCAAATCTGAGTCTTCAAGCTGGTACAATGTAAATTGAGCAGCCAAGCAATCTACTAAGCTCCCAACAAATTCATCAGGCCGTCAAGACTCATTACTATAGAAGAGTAATGTGCGGAAGTGCAATGGTATCTCAGAGTCCCAGATACGATGATGCAGACGGAGAGCACGAAGCACTCGCACACGAATTCACAGGTCCCATTCAGTCTTTACAGTACCGTGGGAAGCTAAGAACACCGTACTATACCCTCCTCCAAATATTGTAGCCATGTAGCCCTGAATACGGTAGTTTCATGTTCGCACGATGACCAACTGACACTGTAATTGCATGCTCGAGGTCCAGTGGTGAAGGAAAGCAGCGGCAGTCGCAAGCCTTGCTCGAACGAAGCGTGCAGCAGCAAGACCAAGTGTAATTGCAATGCTGCAGTACCACAAGAACATCACCGCAACATAGTATGATCAGTATGAGCACCTAGTCATGGCTCCTATCCAGATGGCAGTACACCCTCGCCACCCATCCTTTAAGCACTCAAGGCGAGACTTCGAAAGGGATCAGATCATGAAAACCGTGGACGAGTGGAGGTCCAAGTCTATGGCCGGAGCGTCCCTTGGCTTTTGGGATCACTCCGACTTGGCCCGAAGCTGATAGTCGGCGATGTCGGAGAAGGCTGCTGTAGTGATTAGGCAGGTCTCGATGCTGTGAAGGTGAGCAGCTTCACTGGGCACTGAGGGATGCCTTCGAGATCGTCGCACAGGAGTGGGTGGCGCACGAGAGCGAGGAAGAGCGCATGGCCTGGGTCCGAGACGACGAGAAGCTCAAAAAGATCTTCGAGTAACTTTCGCCTGCAGCTGTGGGGGCTTCGAGCTTGGGGTACAGGTTGATAAGGTTGCCCATGCAACAGCCTTAAGCTACGGCCTCGCATGCTTGACATGAAGCTCGCGACATCTCTGCAAGGCAAGACGTTTGGAGGGACCACTGCTTCGCATTTGGCAAGCCCATGACCACCGAGTTCGATAGCTGCGTGGCCTGGTTTTAGGCCTTGACATGGTGCATCTCCTCGGGTGATCAACTCCACGGCTTCATCATATCAGTGATGGTAGTCAGTAGCTTGTATACAGAGTTCTGAAAAGGAGCGACGCCAATAACAGCAGCAACAGCTCCTGTTTCGCAGTTTCTTCCAGAACCGCAGACAAAGCCAGGCTTGTACAAGAACTACGCAAAGCCGGACATGGCCTTCTTCGATGCCCTCACGCGGGAGATGGGCCTCACGGAGCCTGGCCAGAAAGCACGAGTCCCATTGCAGCAGCATACTACTACAACTCTGGCTATGACGAGGACAACAACGACGACAACAGCAGGAACAACAACAATTACTACTGCACTCCCACTACTACTTACTACCACCGCCACCACCACCACCA